TTAAATTAGTATCCTTCGAGTTTAATTAAATTTAATAGAAATGTTAAAATCTATTTTACAATATACACTTGTGTGTATGTTTTCATTTATAGAATCATCTTAGTGTAGGGTACATTAAGATATATCGACAAAGCAGATAATTGATTTGACATTGTTCATAGTCCGAATTTCATCTAAACGTTATGTTCACCGATATAATTGTATTGTAATTATAATACACTTGTAGTAAAATAGCAGTTTTTTTTCGTATACCCGTGTGATAAAAAATAGTAATACGAATACATTTTGTGTGACAAAGTAGTTTTGGATTATTAATCTTTATGATTTTTATTTTCAAATATGTCTTATATAAAGTACTGTATCTGTGAACAAGTCGAGGTGACTTTATAGAAGTTAAGGAAGTTGAGTCTATTAAAAGCTAGTGAAATTCGGGCTGGCAATAAGTTGAAAAACGATAGCAGCACGTCATGTACATATATAATGTAGAAAATCGTTTACACTTAAAAATACAAGTGACTAGAAACAAGCAAATGTCTCTACTTCTTCTGATAACATATGTACGATATGGATTTTTCAATATACCAAAAAATGATTCGAAACGTCAAAAAAAAAAAATCCTGTTTGAAGGTTTTTTGTTCGTATTTACAGTGACTAGTTTAAATGTAAGCAATTCTATTGTTGTACAAGCTTAAAACCCTATTGACTTATGCGGCAAAGAGACTGAAAATCATATGGCTAATGTAATTGACTTTTCATCAACTGATGTTAAATATCACAAAACTTGTTAATTTTTTAAATCGCCATCCATTTAAAATGTGATAGGCCGCGAAATGAGGATATTAATATAGTAACGAAAAAAAATACATTTTATACGGTGTGGAATGTAAATTTTTGTTTGAAAATGATATATTGCCTTGCATTGATGATGATTATATGATGCCTTATGTATAAACTATTCGTACAAAATTATTTGAAAAATATGGTGAAAATGTTGTTTTAAGTTCCTCAAATACAAAAACCACAGCCAAATGTTTTCGAGGTAAATGTTCAAATAAATCGACAAATAGCTGGTAAAAGTCGACAATTTAACAAAAAGGAAGAGAAGCAGAGAATTGCAAAGACAGCGACAATAATTATTTTAGAAGACATTAGCTCTCAAATAAATAACATAAGTTCCTATCATTAACCAAATTAATTTTTAAAACATTTTGATTTTGTCTTTACAATAACATTGAATTGATTTTTAAACAATGTCATATTGAGTAATGATACAGGCAATAGAAGAAAGTTATTTAAAAAATGCACTTATATTACTCATACTATAATGTCAGCAAGAAACATTGATAATTTCAATTTACTATTCAAACGATTATTAGCGTGTTAGTTCTTTATAGAAAATTTGAATTCAGATATCTTATAAATATTTTATCTAGTCTAGATCTTTGTTTAATTTATCATGATATCATTAAATTTAAATCGTTTTATTTAGTTTATCTACAAACTCGGATTTTTGAAAACTCTTTCAGCCAATTGTATATGACAATGCTGATTTTAACTCGTGTACTATCGATTGTTTAATTACTTGTCCTATAATGAGCATGTACATGCTGCTCTATAACAACCACATCAATTATTTCCGACAAAGCTCTACTTCTTGTAAAAGAAAACTCCCGTCTTTAATTGAAATAAGTCAATATGGTCAAGTTGAAATTTGTAATCTCGACCATTTGGGTATATTTTTAAAAAATTTAGAATATCTACAATCTGTTAATATTTTCGTGAGAAATATTTACAAATTAAAAATTCTAGTAGTTTAAACGGTTTTACAGAGTATATATGTTAAATTTTACCCAAGGACTATTTACAAATATATTTTGTTTAAATATTTTAGTTATTTTACAAATAACTTTTTTACTATTAGTACATTTTTCTAGCTTATATATTATGATGTAATTTCAATAATACTTTATTTTGCAGTAAAAAATCAAATGATTGATATCAGTTAAAATAAACTACATGTGTTATCTTTGATTGGGCATTGTTAATAAACAAAAAATATACTTTCGATAAAGAACTTTAAAAAGTTATTGTTGGACTCAGAAATTTTCTGTTAATGATGTCTTTTATGTACTGCATTAGGTATTAATTAATGCCGAAAAATGCATGCCAGGAAATTTTAAACACCATATGTGTACCAAATTCCATAGGAAAACTTCTATCTGGACATGCTTATTCGATGACTTTCCGAACATCTTCTCCGACGTACTTAGCTTTGTCGACATTTATTTTCGAAATAATTCACTGAAGACGACCGAGTTAAATTTCAAAAGTACTCTAATGAATACTTTTGGAAACCAACAAATATGGAAATAATAAATGAAGACTTCATTTTTAATTCTACAACTAATAATTTTATAACTGAAATAAATTTAATTAAAAATCCAAACCCAACAGCTGCATTATGAATACAATATTTTTAAATGACTACATTAACGAAAAACTTTATTCAAGCCAAAATATTAAAAGACTGATTTCTACATTTAATTTGTTGTTGAGATACGATCCCTTATTTTCAAGCATGTGGTTATATGCTACGCAAAAACTACTTATATGTAACTATAAGATATGATAATATAAGAGCGTAAAATGATTGCTGCAGACTATTTAAAATTTGTAAATAAAAGTTACTTAAGTATTCGGTGCATAGATAACACTTGATCTGGTTTATGGACCGATATGAACATTTCATAAACTCTTAAGCGGACAATGAAAGCATTTATTGTTTAAAAAAATTGTAGAAGTATAACGTATAAAATAATGAGTACATGTTTTTTGAGTATGCCTGTTTTAAATAATATATGTATCAATATTGACAATAGTATTAATCTTTCTTTTAGTGCAAGTGAACATCACATCGAACTGCATGACTGTAAGATATCTCGAAATAATAGTGACGCTGAAAAAATTGTCTAATGGTATTAATTGAATTATCCAATTTTAAATGACAGTTATATTATGTTAAATGCCACCAGAGTTTTCTAATAATGATAAAGTTAATTGTCACAAAGCATATGAAATTGGTTTGATTCTAGTAAACCGAATGGTGGGTAGTAACTTTCATGATATAAAACTTAAGAGATCAGATAAAGCTATAACTCTAGTTACAATAACAATAACAATAAATATGTGATGTTAAAATAAAATAAATCCATTATTACCATTTCAACGAATCGTTAAAAAAGTAACGATGAACTTTTCATTTTTTAATTTGATCTCGCACCTTTTCCTTTGACGTTATATGATGAAAATGATTTCAGAAAAACAAAAATATCAGTCTTGTATAATATTTTACAACACATACCTTCAGAATATATAAATATTAGTAGAGCAAAATATGTAATTAATGGAGGATTCCTTTTCCATAAAATTATTTGGCGTCAAACATTTAAATCAATTTGCGTTTTTTATATTATTTATTTAAAAAAAGTACTCTAATGATGATGTAATTGATATTATGATGGTCATTAAAACAATTTACAAAGTATAAAAAGTTCGAAACGGCATGCCAAAAGTTAAATAAAATATGTGTTAGTGTATTTTTTGAAAGTCATATGATTGGTCCTGTTTCAAAGGACAATTTTTTATCAAAGGATTATAATAAATTGCAATTTATTGAAATTCTTAAAATTAAATTAGTTTGCAACGAATTTTTTGTTAAAACATCAGATTACGATACTGAAATAATTAATGTTAATATTACAATTAATATGTTGAGTAATCATCCTAAAGTTATTGTAGTTGGTAAAAATATGATTTATTAGTGTAATTTTCATCAATATAACTCTTAAAAAAAATAATATTTATTTTTTAAAACCTAGCTCAGGTAAAGAAAAAACAAAATGTTTGTTTTGAATTTATAAAAAAAATAGATTCTTTTTTATTTAGCAGTGAAATGCAGTTTAATAAGGCACTAAGTGGATGTAATACAATGTCTGCTTTATTTCAAAAACTGATTTCTAATTGAATAAAAAATTCATTCTATAGCTCAAAATAGTTTTTAATGGCATTTAAAATTTATAAGAAACGCCAAACAATAAAAAATCTACGAATGACACATCGTTTTAATTCATTCGTAAAGAGTGTGCTAAAAAAAATAACATTATTTCACCTCTGCAACCGAAGAAGCTGCCAGACTACACTCTTACCGAAGTATTTACAAGTGCAGTTAACTGCACTATTCATAATTGTCCACAAACGACCTAGTTATAATTATGACTAGTTGGTAAAAAAAATCTCGAAGGCTCAGGGTGATTGTTTCAATGAAATAATCCAGTTATGAAAATGTCCCCAGTTACAATATTAAAAGCTCCAGTACCCAATTAATTACTTAAATGCATACCATGTAGTCATGGTAAAAATTGTGTCTGCCAAAAAAACAGATGTCAAATGCTCAATTATACGTGGACATTGTAAAGGCCAATAGTGTATAAATTTTAAAATAGAGTTTGAACAAGAAAAGGATTACACTTCTTTGTGGAAATCTTGTAATTATTCGGTATTTGCTGGCACGACTGTATAGGCAGTGTAATTTTGGGAGATTTGTATTCAAGTGACCCCGCGACAGTGAGTTTTTCATAAAATTATATTTACCAAACAAACGACGGGAGTTAAATGAAGTCGGAGTTAGGGTTACCATTACAAATCTTTAGTACTTTTTAGCAGAACGCCGTCCGTGGGTGGATGGTAGAGCGGGGAGGGGGGGAAAGAGAAAAAATGCGATTGTAAATAGGTGCCACGGTATCGGCGTCGGGTCTTAAGGCGCCTTTTTCCGGTTACAACCGCCAGTCCGGGTCAAGCCACCCCCGATTTTAGTCCCACTCCGTCTACCATACCGTGACATCCGCATCCCTTCACGCTTCCACTGCTCACGGTTTTCGTCGTCGGCCGCAACCGCGCGCGTCTACTAGGTGCGCTGCCACCGGGTACTATCATCCAGCGTCTGAATGCGTTTTTCAGCCGTAGTCGCCGTGCGGCACAGCCACACAACGGTCCGCGGTGGTATTCACGTCCGTCGCTGCCGGCCAGGTGACACGCTCTTGCCCGACAGTCGTGTACACGTGCGCGTTCTGGTACTTGCGATGGACTCGTCATTATGTCGCACCGTAGACAGGTGACTACTGCGGCAGCTCATTGTCGGCGACGTGACGTAATTTGTTGGTGAGTTTCTTTCGCGCGATTGAAGTATTGAAATCGTTTTTGACATAAAGAGCTCTAGGGAGGCCATCAATTTTTATTTTAAGTAACCCGCAAACGAAATTTGATACCAATCATGTAGAATTGTTATACAGCACACTCTATAGTTTGTTCCACGTGTCTAATTTTGTAGATACTATAGTAACTCAGATAAAAAGAATATCAGGTTTATATCAAACACGTGTTGGGTTGGGATGCTATTAAAATACCATATCATCCAAACTATGATTCGATTATAGTGATTATTATCCAATAATAATAAGATTATTTCATCGAATAAAAACAAATTTAACAGAAAAAAATTAAATAACATAAAAAATAAATATTTAAAAGCCCTTTAATAAGCATAACTTGTGTTTGGCGTGTGTGAGCTCAAATTTATGTCAGTATAATTAAAATAAAATTTTTGATATTTATAAAACCATAAATTTCAGTTTATAACGATAATAAAATAAAATAAAAAGCAAGAGAAGAAAATTAATGTGTACACGATACAACGTATGTGTTTCCAATTTAAAGTTGGACTATACAAAATATTATTGAAATTTAATTTCTTAAGAAAATTAGATAAAGTTTTCTTATTTTGAAATTTACTCAAATTAATATTTAATTGTCTACAAAAACCAATTCCAACATGTATTGCATTTGAAATACCATATTGTGTATTATTAATGTTATGGCGTACACAAACTAAAATTAACTTTTCACATTCGTAAATCAACATTTTTATAATAAATCATTTTTTAATTAGTAACATGGGAATCATTATGTAAAATAATTTAATAGCAAGTCGTGGATTTACATAATATTGTTTTTAAAGTATTGTAATTTCTAAATTAGACAAACAATTATTAAACTTACTTCTTAAAAATCCTGTACCATAAGTTAAAACAGATTGAGTTAAAAAGAAATAAAACATTTTCAATATACAAGCGTTAAATATTTATCTAAGAGTTCTAAAAATATAGAATAATTTACGAAATTAATTTTTGATACATTTTATGTGGTTAGACTCTTTAAAATTTTCATCCACTAAAATCCTAAAGTATTTAATAATATTAATCGAATGCTAGTACAATAACAATTGTAGAGTTCATTGAACAATAAAAATAATGAAATATTTAAAGAAATTAAAGAATGTGGTGGAATTATGTATTCGAAAATTAATGTATTTAGATTTATCAATATTCAATTCTAAAAAGTTATTATCCAACCAATGTTTTATTTTTACTATTTAAATTGCAGTAGAGTTAAACATTTCGGTCGAAATAATTCCTTTTATTATAACTACACAGTCATCAGCATTAAAAATGATTTCACCATTTATTTTTAAATTAAACAGACAATTAATATACATAATAAATAAAATAGGACTTAATACTGTACTTTGTGGCAAATCATGTGTGGTTAATGAATTATCACTATAAGTACCACTAATTATTTCTAATTAACGTCTATTATTAAGGTAACATCTAAATAAATCTAATGTTGTTCCTTAAATACCATAAAAAGTCAATTTTTCGTATTTATTTATATAAAAATTATTTTGATTAACTATCACTTACTTTAATATCAATAACGCTTATTAACGGTTATCTACGATGGAAGAAGTATCTCAAGTATCTTCTTCGGTAATATATAAACCTCTAGCATAAGTAAATATCTATATACTTTTGGTGAAATATCAGTGTTTATCTTGATATTTTCAGTGAATATTTCTAGACAATTTTTCGAGTTATTTGCGTGCGTGTAATGTGCAGCTAATTACTTCTTGCATACAAGTCAAAAGATCAAGAAATGAGAGTTAAATACGAGAATCAGTCAGAATGAATGCTTTTTTTTAATGCTAATTATATAAATTCTAAGTTATCCCCACAAAGTGTAATAAATGCATTGTTATCTTACAATTAATCTATTATGTTAATTTGTCTTATTGAACTAAACATTGCAGCTGCTATGGCTATTAGTTACAACATGTTATCAATTTTCAGTTAACTTAATTATTACATAATATTTTATACAATTGTCACACAATATTATAGTAGATCTTATCAATCGATCGACATATACAAAGTGTTCAGTAAGTAAGAAAACAGGTCAATTATTACAAACAATGAGAACAATAGAAACCCGTTTCCTGACTTACTGAACACCCTGTATATTATTTAAAAGGTTTAAAAATCCATATAAATTATATACATTTGATTCTATGACTTATAGATAATAAACAATGCACAAAATGATCGGTTTATCATAAACCATTTATGATTACTAGCACTGTCTATTGTAGGTATTTTTCTTAATATAAGAATACACTCTCTACTATGTTTCAATTTTGTTGCAGTAAGGTAGAAAACTTTAAGATATTCAACTAAAGAAGATAAGAATTTTGTCATTATTTATAATTTTAATACGATTTTGAAGTTTTGGTAGTCACGTCTTATGGCGACATTAAGTTTTCCAGCATCACTTCATTTTCTTTAAGATTAGGATAACTAAAAACAATTTTCATTCTGAAATCGAGAGAACTTCAATAAAAGTATGGCCATACTTTGTTAAACGTCAAAGTAAAATTTGACTTAAATATACGCGATAAAAATATTTAACAGTTAACAGGAACTTTTCATCTTCCTAAAAAACGTTTAGGTAAAACTTTTTAGATGTTAGTATCGTATTTAACATGCATTTAAAAAACTAATGATACAAATATGACTGTATTATACGGGAATCTAAATATTATAAGATCACTATACAAATGTTAACTGTACAAATTTCAAACTCCACATTGTAGTTATTCGAAGGGATAAAAGTCTACTTCGAATCAAATCTGTATAATAGTTCAGTAAATTATTCATTGAAATTACTTTAAATGGTATTTTAACAAAAGATTCGAAACGCTTATTAATATATTGTTATTTGTAATGACCAATTGCTGTCTCTAAATAACATTAAAGCTTACAGACAATCTGAATAATTCACTATTCGTGTACAGTTTTGGTCGGGTTATACACAATTTAAGCCTTTGTAACGACTGTTTACAATTCCATTTCACTGATTTAAAGCTAACGGACAAACGGTCCTTTTCAAACTGCAATATATAAAACACTCAGAATAGAAGTCTTAAAAAAAAAAAAATGCATGATAATAGCCCAGAAATTGCAAGTAAGCATTAATATAAATTTACATCTTATATATTTATCTAATTTAAGATTTTTGACTATACTTTGATTATTAATAACATTTATAACTGAAATTAATAAATATACAAGACTAACCGATTCCATATCATAATGTTAATGTAAAATGAACCTTTTATATTTTTAATGTACAAGCGTTACAATACTTCATTATAATAACACTTTAAACTTTTTTAAACTTTTAAAATATTTAAAAGAGCAAAACTGCAATTTAACATCAGGTGTGGGAGACGTCCACTTAAAGGCTATTTATATATACCTATAAGGGACAACTAGAATTGCCTTTAGCTTTATCTCGAGTTTATGTTGTTAATAAAATTATTTGTAAAAATAAAACTATGCGAATGTATTTTTATAGTTTCTGTAATTAATGTAATGACAAGAACCTATGGACAAGTCCCTGCGTTATGCACAAAAAAATTTTACTATGGAATTTTATTATAAGTGAATAGATTGTAGTTGTGCTTGACTTGAGAGAAAGTAGTAGAGGTACTTTAGTTACTTGAAAAAAGTAGGGTCGCTAGAATTTTAATATTCTTACCGTTACTTTGGGGAGCTTTGCCCCCACAAAATTTACGATCCCTTTAGAAACATTCCTATCTAGAGCCACGACATCAGAAGATATGTTTCGTTATTTCCGCTTAATGAGTTGAAAACGTTTCAGGGTTGCCCGTAATAGTGTTGTTTTAAGGATAATTTGAGGTTATTAAGATATATTTTATATACTTATATGAAGACGTATAACTTCAAATTTCCCAAAAAATCTGACACGTATTCAACTTAATAATTGAAAAACTGATAAGAAAGAAATTTTTCGACCTTTAAAAATCGTATTTAGAACATAAAAAAAAAAATATAATAGCAATATATTATAAATTAATGGTTAACTAAGTTTTTAGATAATGAATGGTTATTACTCGTGGCTAATTATCAGTTATCATTTATCAGATATGAAATATCAGCACATTTTAAAATATTTCGTAAGATTTATATATTTAACACAAAAATGTAATTTTATAAAAATATGTAAGATTAAGTAATATCCCGTCACATGCATTCTCCTTTAAAAAAATGTGTGCCGCTATTAATAGCGACTTGTCCTTTTGCGCCCGTAATATTTAATAGGATAATACTTTGATCTACCGCTATATACCTTCTTGACAAGTACTGTTAAAAATTACTAAAAATATCAACAAACTGACCAAGATGAATGTTATTTTATTCAGAAATCACTGAATACAACTATATATTTTAATAAATTTTTGTTAAAAATGTATTTAAATATTGAAAAACAGATGAAATTGCCCAAAAAATAATTTATTTATGTCAAAAGTAAGGAAATTACTTTTTAGCTTTTTTAATTATTAAATAAAGTTTCTCGCTATATCTTATTATTTATCTGATTTAAAATTATATTTTCAATAACATTTAAATAAACACTGATTTTTTTGTAACTCTTTTACAAATTTCAATTTACGAAATAATTAAGTGTAAATATTATGTATTTTGAATATTTATGTGTTAGTATTGGTTACTTTTGTATTTCACCTGCAATGTATAAGTGATCTTAGTGGTATATTTTTTTATCATCGATTAAGAATTATATTGTCATCCTACCACATTGTATAAAATACACTTATTTACACATTATTGAGATACTCAATACCATCTAATTTGTACATTTCGGGAAATTTATTTTTATTATAGGAATAGTAATCTACTAAGCTTAGTATTTTTTCATTGCATAATAAATTGTGCAAGTGACAT